TATTTTTTAGTATTTCAAAACTTTTTTTTTAACTCTAGGTTCAGTCAATCAGTCAGCATAAGGCAAGAGTTATTTTTCTGATGTCAGATCATCAAAAATGCCCTAGGTGAGCTTGTCATTCATTTTATCAAATTGTGTTCAGATTCCCTCATTTCTATCCATTCCTTTGTACATTTTATGTTACAGTATATATTCTTTATTTATTCATTTTTTTATTTATTTAATTGATTTATAATAAAGTGGATAAACACTAAAATAAGTAAGGAAATTTTTACTTATGTATTTTCGAAAGATTTGCTTGCTACTTATAAATATATTTTTATGAATTTTACATATATATTCCTGTATTTTGTTGCATAATATAAATATGCAGTTGTTTTAAAATTAAATTCTTTTTACTTATGTATTTTTTAAATTATTGCCTGCTACTTATAAATATATTTTTATGAATTTTACATATATATTCCTGTATTTTGTTGCATAATATAAATATGCAGTTGTTTTAAAATTTAATTCTTTTTTTTTTTTCAGTTTTCCAATAAAAAATGCCAAAACGCTAAAACCATATTCTTGTCCTGAGCGAAGTAATTATATTGTAAGTCTGTTTTTATACACTTTATCATGCTAGCCGTATTTACCAAAATACCTTCTGAAACAGATCCTCATCTAAGGGTAGTAATTGTTTGTACATAAAAAGAATGAAGTAAGACTGCAAAAAAAAAAAAAGATAAAAGATTATATTTTGTTAAAGATTATACGGTCATCTTGATAGCTCCATCAGCAAGCTGATTGTGGCTTACTTAGTCACAGCTGGTCACTGTAACTAGCCAGTAGATTATATCTAGTGTCACTATTAAGGTCTACATTGTTATGCAATCAAAAGTGTTGGGTGCTGCTAATATATATTATGTTCATCAAAATATATATGAAATTGATTCTTTACCAAATAACAAAGGTAATTGACTGTCTACATAGATATTTGCATATTAATTGATCTCAAAACAGAAATATGGTGTCTCCATGATATAATCTATTTTGTTATCTATAAAATACAATGTTGGTAACACACATGTTCTTGTGTGAAGCCCTCCATTTTGTAGCCAGATTCATATATACCAATTGTGTAACCATTCAGCTTACACTCTAGACACACTAACCTCATTTAACTTGATATTTTGGTATAGGAAGAGGCATTGAAGTTTGAAGAAACAAATAGCGAGTTTTTAGAGGTTATTCAGAAAGCTGATGATTATCAAGAAGAAAGAGGTTTGGAAGTCTTTAGTTTTTGAGTCACTGGCTTCTTCTTGTTCTTTTAACTTAACTATTGCTGTACACATTCTTACAACTGCCAATTCTGAATTTAGGAATTGATTTTCTATGTCTTTCGCATTTGAAAATTGGTCAAATTTTGTACTTTTTAAATATTTTTGAATGTTTTATTGTGATTTTTTATTGTATGCTCCCTGTTATTGGTGTTTATGTTCTTAGGGGCGAAATGAAATAGATTAAAAAATTTAATTAAAATTAAATTGAATTAATTAATTGTACCAGGGAACAAATTCAGAATTAAGCTGTGAGTGTTCATCGTGGGAATGGATACCAGCACGCTATAATGTGCTTGATATTGTAACTGTATATTTTTGTTGTTTACAGTCCTAAGAAAGAAAGACCTGAACAGGACTCCGCTACAGGATCAGAAATGTAAGTCACTAATTCTAATTCAAGTTTTCTGTTGAGTGAAGAAACTTGTGTCATTCCAGCGTGTGCAGTATAGATTGGATCTTAACATATTAGATTGATCATATATAAATTCTGATACTGTGAAAGGAATTGAACCCAGAACCGTGGTAGTGGAAAGCAAACAACTTCACATCCAAGGTATTCTACTTCACTAAATTTCTTTTTCTGTAACCAATTAGTGCTTTTAATATTATGAGTGTTTTTGTTTTTTGACAGTGCTAAGAAATACAGACATATTCCAGACTCCTCCACAGGATGAGAAAGGTAATTCTCAAGCTTTTATTTTTAAATTGTTTAAAATTGTATTATTTAGGCACATGCCAAGGATTACAAATAGCAGTTAATCATTGTCATATTAGATGGCAATATCTTCACATGACGCATGATGCTCTACATAAACTAAGTCTCATTAGAAGGCAGGCATTTTAACCACCAAGCTCCACTCTAAGTAAAGATGTTTCTGTAATTCCAGTTCAGTTAAAACAGTTATAGTTTCCTTCAGTATTGAAGGTGAATATCAACTATGTAACATTAAAATGTGTGGTCATTTCACCAGCCTCAAGTACAGAGGATACATTGTACTTTGATGGGGTCCCATCACCAGCTGAGGGACCGCCCATCGATACCTTTTCGTCTGGAGAAGGACTGCTAGATGATGCTGTAGAGGTAATCAGTGAAAAAAAAGTGACTGAGAATGCAGATATTACAAAAAAGTAAGTTCTTCGAATATGTTTTAACCAGTATTTAATATTCTAATTAATTTCTATTTTTGTTTTCAAAATGTTACTGTTTAATAGTTTTTCTTCTATCATTATTACTAGGTGGTCGGTAGAGGTACTAAGAGAAAGAAAGACAATACATTTTTAAAAATTTATTTAAGATTCAAGTACAGTTAATGAATTCATTATAGATATCTCAATTCATTTTATTCACACTTGTAAAAACAGCTTATAAATAAGTAGAGGTACAACCTAATAAAGCAAAGGTAGGCATGAACAATTCAATTGATCTATAAATTAGATAGACTATAAAAATTTGAAAATAAGAATGATATTATTTATGTGTTTGTTAAATGGCAAGAAAGATGTTTTGTAATTGTACAGTACATTAAACACGAGATAGGGTCAGGTTGTTTTGGGTGGGCTTTCACCCCATTACAAGAATACAGACAACAATACAAGAATACAGACAACAGTAGGCCTACAGGCAAGTTGATAGGAGCACTAGCCTCAGTGGCATTCTATGGGGTGCATGTATATCTCACCTTAATTCTCCAACAAGCACTCCACTTAAACATCACGCCATCCCACCGCACCTTTGCCCCCCCCCCCAATTTCAAGACTTCTAGATACACCTCTGAATAGCCTACAGTATGCATTACATAACCATTGATAAGTAGAGGTGAACTTAACCCAGCTGGATACTGAGTATGTTCATGTTTATGAGCTCCACATCAGTAGTCTACATTTTTATTTCCGCTTTTTTATCAGGAAACTAGAGTATGAGAAAAAAGGACAGCGAATTGCTAAGTACATAAAGAAATCTAAAACTAAGGTGAGTTAATTTGCTTTTATAAAAAGTCTGGTATTTAGTAACCTTATAATATTGTTGGGATCTTGCTGATTTCTTAAATTTCACCGCTTAGCAATAAAAGGTTCTTGGCAACCAGTAAATGCTTAGCAACCAAAAGGTGCAATATTCTGTATGCACAGTTCTGTACTACATCAACCCATGTATTTATTATTATTATTAATTGTCTTTAAATGAATCTTAAGTGTTTATCCTGATTGACTGTTTGCAGGACCATCTGATCAAGATTTTTACAGGAACTATCAACACTGAGAGACATAACTTATTCCATCATGCGAATAAAATGGCACGTGCTAAACTTAATAACTTAGGGGGATATGGCCCTATTCTTGCAGATGATCTGGTATGAATATTTGATTTTTTTGGTATATTAATGTATTTGAATTTCCATGCTTAGCCACATTACATTTTTTAAATTGCTGTTTTGAGTACATTGTACAATGAATATTTTCTTCTTTGTTCTTTATTGAATATTTGTCAATTTTTCATATTTTGTTAATTTACTTTAAATTTATTATTAGCCTATTGGAGATTGTCTATTGATTATCTTTCTGTTAATATTTTATCCTGTTATTTCTGTTTACTTGTAGCTTGATGAGATATTTCTCCATATTAAAGGAGTGTTGGACGAGTACTGTAGGTCAACTGGCTACTCTGATGCTGGACCTTCTTATATTCTCAATGTTTCCATTCCAGAGGTAGGTTAATGGTATTCCTTTATTAATGCATCATAGTATGTGATGGTTCGTGTGTACTATAAAGAGCCCAGTAAATCATTTGATACAAGTATTGATATACCCCGGTGTACTGGTACAGACAGCCCCTGTGGTGGACGGTGAGAGTTGCTGGTAATGGTTTACTGGGTGGCATAGACATGAAGGGACCCTAAGGGGCGATGGAAGTCACTGAACAAGCTACTAGTCCACACATCAAGCACCACAAGCATTTAGTTTGATGGATACCGGCGCTTATGCCAATCTACACTGTTGTTATTTGCGTGCATTTTGTACATAAATTTCTTTTTACGCTGGTTTTTATGTGGACATAGATTTTGTTGAATGGATCAACATGACTGACCGATTTAGAGTTTGATAAGTTTGCAAAGGCATGATGGTGATACAATGGCGTATCTAGAAGTCAGTTGAGGGGCGCTAATTCGCAAAATATTAAGAGATTCTCAGTTCACAATTGATTTTGTAAGAAAAATTGGTGTACTTTTTGATAATCACTTAGTTTACTCTGCATAATTCTACAACCTGCTGCAATCTATTTATTTCTACTTAAGGAAAATATTTATCTATTCATACATCCAAGAAGGTGTTTACTCAGTTAGGCTTTCATGTCTTGACTATTGTAATGCACTTCTCTATGGCTGGCTTGCTACATAAACATTCATCAACTTCAGCTTGTCTAGAACACAGCTGCAAGAATTGTTACATTTACCAAGAAGCCCTGTTCTTAAAAAACTACAGTGGCGCCTTAAGTTAATGAACGCATTTCAAGATAATGCTTATAACATATAAGGCACATTTCAGATATTCACATTTGCCGCCCCTACATTATGGAATGCCCTACCTTTTTAATCAAAACCTCATCTTCTGTCAATATCTTTGAGAAAAAGTTAAAATCTTACCTCTTCTCCGTCTTGTACTAAATTTTCTGACACACAAGTAAATTGTAGTTTTTTTTCTTTTTTCCCATAATCTTACATTTAAATTAATGTTACTTAACTTCAGTAGTAATGTGCACAAAGAATAAATACTATTGTTATAGTACATTGGATACTGGCACTATACAAATGCATGATTGATTGATTGAAGCAATTGATGATGAGAATGGTTAAAACTTATATCTTACAGGCCATCATATTTGCTATACAAAAAACAAGACGTGTTGGGAAAACGAAAGCAGAGGACATCTTTTTTAAAGAGCATACAGAGGCAACAAAACTTGAAGGTGGTACAATTCCCAGAACCATCCTTGACAAAGAGACCATGAAGAGGACTATGAATCGGGCATACCGTAAATTAATGTCTAATCTGTCTTGACAACCCCTATTTTATCAGTGCAGTTTGGTTTGTCTTGACAAAAAAGGTTTTATGTTGCACTGATGAAACAGAGGCAGCAAAACTTAAGGGTGGTACAATTTCCAGAACCATCCTTGACAAAGAGACCAAAAAGAGGACTATCAATTCGGCATACCGTAAAATAATGTCTGATCTGTCTTAACAACCCCTCTATCAGATAGAGCATTTTGATTTGTCTTAACAAGATCTTGTACTGATAAAACTGCTTGAGCATTGTGTAAATTATTGTCATATCTTGACTATCGCCATTCTAACACTGATTGCTCAAGCATACTGTCATACTGTAACTTTTGCCTGGTTTCCATAAAATCACTACACCCAATCGCTGACAGTTGCGACTCTTGGTGGCAATTTATGAATGCGCTGAGTATTGGTGATGATGCCTTAGGCTAACTTTTGTAGGGTTACCCATACACTTTGTGTATATTTGTAGTCTTAAAGTTACGGTTTAATTATGAAAGAATGTATTGTTTGAACAGCCAGGACCTATGCATTTGTTTTCTCATTAAATTCCTTCATGCTTTTGTCATACAAAATACTGAAAATTTGATATGCAGTGATTTATCAAAAGTTTGGCATCATTGCTTGAGAAAATCAAGCATGACAATCGTTGAGAAGCTGATGATGTTTAATGAACTCAGAGGATGATTCGTCTGCAACCAGTCAGAAAAGTTAAATTTGATTTAACTTTTCCTAACTTTTTATCAGATAAATCAAGGGGCCTTGATTTCATCAGGGGCAGTCACATAGCGATTTTATTGAAACCAGGCTTGACTGTATGCTTGACTTAATGACTGTGTGCTTGACTTGATGACGCTGTTTTATTTTTCTATACAATATTTATTATTGTGCAATTCAAAGTGTTTTAATTTCTAATGATTTTTGAGAGGATTTTTATTTAAGCAATGTGAATTTCATTTTGTTTATTAGATCTTAATTTTAAAGTACTCTACTACACCTTGCTTTATATATACCATTGTGCCTTTTTTGATCTTGAGTCTGTATCAAAGTTTTGCCATCTTCATTGTATGCATATTGATAAACATTCATATTTTACAGCCTCATCCACTCCCTTAGAAGTGTTAATAGTCCATGATAAATACTCTCAATTATACAACCTTCTAACAGGTAACCCTATATATTGCTAGCTGGGCAGAGATTAAAATGTGAATTAAATGTCCTCACTCAGCAATACATTACCACACAAGTGGCACAATGACTTTTGGGTTATTGCAAGCAGTTTCAAGATAGTTGCCAGATTACAGTTTTAGGAGTTGACCCAAGGGGTTGCCAGGTTATTGCAAACATTTTCATTTATTGATTTGGAGGTACTGCCAGGTTATTCAAAGTGTTTTTTCAATGAAGTCAGTATTAACTAGGTATTATTCTATGATATGTGCTATAAAATAGATTATATAAGGTACAGTACTTTCAATACTGATGAGACACAATGTAATCCATGGATTATATATAAGTTACTTTTGAAACTGATGAGATACTGAATGCCAGTGTCATTAATGATCAGACAGTGAAGCGGTGAGGTGCCCCTTATTCAGCTTTGAATTCCTAATTCTACCCCAGGTGCTGCTTCACTGGTTCATGTAGTCAGATAAGCCTTGTTCCCTCTCTGAAATTCAAAATGCACCCCAGGTGATTACAGTACATCACAACATGTACTTAAAAGTTTCAAGTTGAGCAAGTAAATCTGATTTTGAGTGTTGCATGGTTGTTAAAAATAACACATTAGTTATATAATTGACTAGTAGCATGTTGAATCATTAAATGATGTAGAATAACTTGGCACTTTCAAACTTTTGCCATTAAATATTATTCAGCAGTACTGAAATCTCTATGCAGAGTTAAAATAATCACATTTTGTAAAATAATTTTTAACTTAATTGTCCAGACACAATGTATAACTGTACTATATAAAACAATATATTGATATCACGATCTGCATAAAAACAAATGTGAAAACCATAAAAGATTTTGACTTAAAATGTTCATTACATGTGTTGTTTTAGCCATTGTTAAACTTTCCAATAAATTTTTTTGTGTGCTGCTCTTTTATTTTGGTTTACTATTTTCTATTAAAATGGCTTCAAATTTATGAATTCTTGATTCTTTGATTTGTCAGTAGCAGTGTAATGGAGAAAATGATGTTTAATTTTTTTTATACTTAAAAAATTCATTAGAAATACTGTAGTACTGTACTTTAAATTTCTAAAACATCTCAAATTCTAAAACATCTCAAAACTGCTTAAATTAGCCCTAAGTGTCCCAGTTTCTCTAGCAGTTTCTAGTTCTCACTGCAATGGCAGTTTGCTGACTGATGCGCTTGTTGGATATGGTGCACTTTTTAGAAGGGTAAAATGATTTACACACTGATCAGCGAGTTATTTACCATAAAACTTAAGAGTAAGAACTATGGTATTAAATAACCCCTCCCTCCTTTACAACAAATTCAACCAAAAGCATTGCATGGGAGTGTTCAGCGTATTTAAGGTCCTGTGTAGATTAAACAGCAACTACAAAGAAAGAGGAAATCCTGTGTTAGTGCCACACCCTATTACAAAGGCCTACTTTACACATACAGTAATAATAATATAAGCCAAAGAAAAACAGATTGAATCTGTACAGTTGCTTTAAAGCCATCTAATTGTAACAATTATATTTACCGCAGGACAAGCTAATCAATATTCCAGGGCATTGTTCACGCGTCGATTAAATGGAGCTACACAAATCCACTTATCACCACCATGTAGCTTTAAAGTGCCTGTCCTGCATAATCATGTGACCACCTATTAGCATGAGCCCACATCAACCCTCCTAATCTATTAATCTTACTTTCTCTGTAAAACATTATAAAATATCAAGATTGTTTGCATTTTATTTATATTTTTAAAATAAAATAATGGTACTGTTTTTAAAGTTACTTAGGACATAAGTTTTAATACTGTACAGTAGAGAGTTTTGGATTTTCTGCTTAAATGCACGCAACAAAAAACATAATATTGGCTGTATTAGACTGGTCATTCTTCGTTAAACTATGCCCACCTGCGCAGCGGTAAAATCCTACATAATGAAGACAACAGTAGAATAAAAAAATCTTTTAAATACAAAATGGCTGATAGTTACTGCGATACATAGATTGTGGCACTATGGGTTTTTTTGTAAAAAAATGTTTTCATCTATTTTTTAAATTCTGTTAGCCTACAATTATTTCTTGACTTCAATGTGGGTAAATATAATTTTTATTTTCTGAAATTTAATCTAAATTATATTAATGCAAATGTTGCTGATAAATGGACCAATCGGCCATATTTTTTTTGGTCATGTGCATAACTTAACGGCGATTAACGCATTCTGGTTACGTTAATTTTCATTGTCAATGAAGTCTATTTTACGAAACAGTAGAATGAAAATAATACTCAACAAAAAATTGTACTTGACGAAATGAACCAGCCGAATAAGCCCAACGTAATTCATGCATTATAATTTATTACAATCTGAAAATCAAATAGAGTACTTTTAACTTTTTATGAATAATCATAAATATAAATGAATATTCATGAGCTACAACATAAGGATCTGTGTGTTTTATTACAATATAAAAACAGTTGACAAACACGGTAGTTTCAACAAAGTAAACAACCGTTTTTACACGAGCAATTTACGAAAACAATGCAGAAAATCTTCTATGCTGGTGGGCGTATTTTTTTAGTGCCCACAGAATTCAAGATATTTTTAAGTATATATTACAATTTGCTGTATAAAATGTGATTTTGTATCTACTGGGTCTGTTAAACTTCTTTAAATCTAGAATTATATTAATAACAATAACAATAATAAAGCTACACTTTATCATTTTTCAAAATATCTAAATACAGTATTTAAAAATACAAAAAAAGAAGGCAATTTATTAGACATGTAAAAGAATATGATTCAATAATGCCATATTTACATAAGTAATCACAACTTCTTCAATAATTATATCTGCAATTATATTATAAATTTCTGTATTTTCTTCTCCATATATTTTAGTTTCTGACATCCCAATTTTACATTTTTTATAATTCATAAAATGTTTTAATCAAAGTTACAGGTTTCTGACATTCATGGTTACATTTTAAGTTACAAATTGCAAATCATTTTAATTTAAATTGTGAAACTTTAAATCACGAATTCACCTTGAAGCGTCACATGATATAAATTTTATTTTTAACAGAATAATTTTGTTATCCAATTTTATAAATGTATTTATTAGTCAATTATGACATCATATTTAGGTCATTAAAGTAAAGGCTCCTTTGGGGCTCTATTGAGTCTAGGATTTTTTTGCTTCAAACATTTTCAATGGGAGGGGGAGGGGGGTAAGAGTTTTTTTGGGCATACATCCCCTAGATACGCCTACGCCACTACAACAATGCTCTCTAAACAGTACACTAATTTCTTACTATTTATTCAACAATTTTCAAGTGCTTGCTCACAGCAAGCCGACAATGCTGTACATGTACAGGTATAGCCAATACGTAATACTATATTTTTCTCTAATTATTTTAAACACCTAAAATTAGCAACTATAATTATATAAAATAATTCTATAATAAAAACAATAATGAATGAAATTAAATTGTTTTTGCAAGAGTTACAAAAGTTACTACTGTTAGAAAAGACATACTACCTATGATGAAACATGGAAACCTTCAATATAGAAATTGAATTAAACAATTAAAGAACTAAATAATGTATCAACAACAAATGAAGCATGGATCAAAACAACTGGGTTCTTGCTGAATAACACACTTCTTACTTTAAAAATCATTAAATCGATTTACCAGCCTTATGCATTTTTTTCAAATTTTAAATATGTTATTAATAAGCAATAATAATAATTACGCAATTCAAATATTACAATTTATTTGTTGTTTTGTTTTTTTCTTCAAAACAGGCAGCAGTATGTCTTTAATGTTTCTACCATTACCCAAGATACTAATGAGGCAAAAAACCCCAGTAAACCCAAAACAACTATACATAAATAAAACTCTTTTTTTAAGCAATGAAAAACTCATCCTCAAATATAATAATTGCACAATTTTGTCAATCACAAACTTGTCTTAAAATGTCAAAATAATTTCCATTTATAGAAATTATAATCATGTATACCATGCATTGTTACACTGGCTCAGACTCTCAACCCTGAGGGGGTTGGGATCGCAGTGGCATATCTAGCAATACTAGCATAGGAGGCTCTTTAGGGGGGAACTGCCGTAGATATGCCGCCGGGGGTTCAAAACCCTCGCTGTGCAAATCGCTTGTGTCCTTAGGTAAAACACTTTACACAATTATATACCATAGGAAATAGTAGGAAAATGATAGAAAATTATTGATAAATAATACTGTATATTCATAAGAAAATTAAAGAGAATTTTTCTACTGTAAACAGAATGTGATAAAATTACTAAAAAAAAAATAGCACATGATTTCTTTAAATTAGAATTAATAAAAAAGCATACTAAATAAACATTTACTCACGAAGTGAAGATTAAGAATACTTTAAATTATATTGCAACGTCACCAAAAAAAAATTGGAATGTTTTATAAATAAATGGTAGACATGAATATTCATGATTACAGTAAGTATCACATCATCAATATACATTACTTACAAAAATTTGCATCACTATCTTACATATGCATCAGTTGCATTATTTAGTTTCACTGGATTGTCTTTCCTGCAGTATAGGCCCACAATAAAATAAATCTTGTACATACAACTCCTTAGTTCAATTATCATTAATGCTGAAATTCCTCACCCAATACAAATTCTGAAGAAAGTGATGCAAGTTAGTGTGAAGAATATTTTGGAATTTATTTCTGATGTCTTACCTCACTTACATCAGAATGAATCTCATTCTTACTCTACAAAGGTTAGAGAGAAATTAAAAGCAACGAATAAATTGCCAATCAAGCTGTTTAAATAGGAATACAGATTAATGCTATCATACGGTAATACATATCAAATACTGGTCTTTAGCACCATGTGGTAAATCTCCAATCCTACGCATTTGTAATAATACATTAGTGTAGGAAATTTCTAAACATAATTTTACATTTGATGCTATCTATGGTACATACAAGTTCTATAATATGAGGAATAATTAAATGGAAGAAGGTGTAAATAACATCTATTCAAGAAATAGACAAAAGCATCACATTTGGTTATCATCACATGTCATTTTGATGTCCTCAACCTACAGTATTCAGAACAAATTAAATGTTTGAATTGTATATCATATCACATAATAAACAACATTAACATTTTTGTTTTTTAACATATAAAATATTTTAAATAACTATCACAAGCCTCTTCTTTTTCCATTATTTGGAAAATTAAGTTTCAAAACACAGTACTTACATTCTTTTTAACAGAAAAAGTAATTGTGGTCATCAAAATTTGTGAATATTTTATTAAATTTTCTCAAAATTTAAATAGAAAACAGTAACAAGTTAAATCCAAACGAAAATGTAGAAAAAAATATGGTTGATTATGAACTGATCAGTTGTTACATCATACTCTTCATTATATGAGAGTAGTATTACCGTCTAAAACTACAGTACAATTTAATTTAATGAATTTATCAATTTAATACAACATTATAGAAAATGGGGCAGAGAGCAAGGGCAAGGCAATAACTGAATGAGTGAACACACTATTATAATACAATGAAAGAGTATAAATAGAACAAGAGAGCAAAGTTCGTAAAAACGTCACGCCTGTGTAGGACTCCCACTAGCGGTTGTATGTTCTTTTTATTACCCAGTGCAGCGCTGCGCAGCGCGGTAGAAGTACGCCCGCTATAAAACTCAGTAAGCAGAAAACAAAAGTACAGCATCTTGTGGAGAACAGACAAACCGACCATGCGCGGTGGAGTACTGGGTAATAAAAAACATACAAGCGTTAGTTGGCGTCCTACACTAGCTGCGTAGGGCGTATCGTTTTTTTACGCTCTCAATGAGCGTTGTTGGCTCTCTTGTTCTATTTATGCTCTTTGATACAATCTATATTCTTAGAACATTATGAATAGACATTCTCAGGGCAAGTATCCTATGGGCCATACAGGGTTTGAATTTCCTTAAAATGCTCCATCATCAAATAGCTGCTGTGGGCTGTGGCTTTACTGCAGCAATTTATTCTTCTTCTACAGCAACAAGCTTGGTAAATTGTTTTAAGAATACCGTAGGCCTATTCTATAAATGTAAGTGTATAATCCATTGCTAGGCCTGGATCAGGCAACTCGACAGTAAAAAGCCTGCTTTCGAGCCTGGGATTTACAACAGCAGTGGAAGGCCCTTTCTACAGCAATTGCTGACGGTGCTGTGGGGAAATTTGTACCCTGGCCAAGGAGATTATTCATTCAAAACTAACAAGTAAACTGGATCATATTTGCATTTACAAGTTCAAAGGGTTACAGTATGTAGGTTGTGTAAGTAATTTTTTTTTCTTTCTAGTTGTTTATCAAAAATCATCAACAAAACAGTCAAAAAAATACAAAATTAAAATTCCTTTTTTGGGTCATATTACCACATACATTTACCAAAATATACCGTCTTTTAAGTAAGAATTTTATAGGCTGGACTTGTGGATGGTAGGCCTATCCGGGGTTTGACAGGCTGCAGTTGTTTATTTATAGGCTGTACTTGTGGATGGTAGGCCTATCCGGGGTTTGACAGGCTGCAGTTGTTTATTTATAGGCTGTACTTGTGGATGGTAGGCCTATTCAGGGCTTGACAGGCTGCAGTTCATTTATAGGCTGGACTTGTGGATGGTAGGCCTATCTGGGGCTCAACAGGCTGCAGTTGTTCATTTATAGACTGGACTTGTGGATGGTAGGCCTATCCGGGGCTCGACAGGCTGCAGTTGTTCATTTATAGGCTGTACTTGTGGATGGTAAGCCTATCCAGGGCTCGACAGGCTGCAGTTGTTCATTTATAGGCTGGACTTGTGGATGGTAGTCCTATCTGGGGCTCAACAGGCTGCAGTTGTTCATTTATAGGCTGGACTTGTGGATGGTAGGCCTATCTGGGGCTCAAAAGGCTGCAGTTGTTCATTTATAGGCTGTAGTTGTGGATAGTATGCCTATCTGGGGCTTGACAGGCTGCAGTTTTTCATTGGTCAATTTTTCAGTTTTTTTTATGTATGGGCTGATGTTTTGGTAAATGGAGGTTATTTGTCTGCATATCTCATAAACAAGGAAGATAACAGGTGTACATCATTCACTTCCTACTGATCAGTGCTTTCTGTAAAAGAATAGCAAAGAATATTGAAAGCATTTCATTATAATAATATTAAGTGTTATTACCAGACCTCTGCAAGGACTGATGTCCCTATGCAGCCATTTTAGCATTTTACTGCACTTTGTAATGATAAATACAAACAAGGAAACAAACAAAACGGATCCATGACTTTTCTTTAAAGAGAGCTCAAAATATATGTTTTCCTTTGAGGTGGAAATGATGTCATTTAATGTCCTTTAATCTAAAGATAGTTGTTGCATTTGGTACATTCACTACCCAGGGTAGGTCAACGGTCAACCAACTGCTTCTGGATTTCATCAAATTAGACTCAATAATCCACTGTAACAATGGAGAGTGTATATAAAGTTCTTGTGTACTGCTTTAATTGTTATCCAAAAATGTTTTCAACGATAATGATCAATACTGCATGTAAGCAAACATTCATAACCAACAGGTGCTTGCAAATTTGTGTTTTCTTGTTTACAAACTTTTGGACAAATTTGAAGACATCAGCATGCATCAGACACACAGATGAACACGGCCATTGCAATGGTTACTATTATTACTTTATAGCACAAGAAATAATACAGAAATATATCATAAATTTCTAAAGCCCTAAATACACATTGTCCAACATCCAGGACAATTTAACACATTACCTATTTCTTCCTGCATCCCAGTGAAATTCTCATATTATTGATAAATTATTGCAAAATCCAAGTGAGCTGTAAATCTTCATCCTGTCAGTTTTTTTTTTACCTTCTACACCTGATATTAGTCTATAGCTTTATTTTGAACAACTCCTATTTTGCACAGATGTTATGAATATGACATACTGTACTGTAGTGATGCATTTTACTATAAGCCGAGAACTCTGCCGATATCATCATTTGACCTTCATTTGCCTGTCCTACTATACCACACTAATTTTCGGTACTTGGCTGTTTGACATTTTTGTGCCTTGTGTGTAGGACATAGGCTTAGCCAGCGAGTCGTCCGGCCGTCTTTTGGATGGCCTAAAATTATTTAGGACGGCCACTTTTACCGTGACAGCTTGGACGGCTTGGCCTAATCAGTTCGGCCTAGCCTAACTAGGCCTGGTCTACATTTAAGCAAATTCATTATATTCTTCAAATCTATTGAATGTTACATTAAACTAAAGCTAAATCATATTTAAGTTTGATAAACAGCATTTATTGATTGAATGTACGTTGTGTTCGTACCAATATTCGGTGGGAATTCCCAAAGCTGGGCGTGGCCCGCCCATCAGCTCAGTGCCACACCCACTGGCTTCCATTTTGGACGGCCTATTTCATTTTTCTGGCTAAACCCCTGGTGTAACAATGGCAAACTAAAATGTTTACTACGTCACCGCATCAAATTACTTAATTCCTATGTTTGTTTATAGCTCTATTGCATAGGACATTATTGTAATTCATAAGCTCTCGTACTCGTGTTATCCACACACACATCTGATGTTCTTGTAAGATAAATGCATCTGACATTGATATTATATTTTGATAATTAGAAATCAAAGAAATAAATTTAAAAAACATTATATTTACAACAGTAATATAAGAAAAAGTAATATAAGAATAAGTGTATAATTAATAAAAACATACTGTTAAGAAACGCTACATTCAGTAATTAATCGATTTAAGTAATTTATGCAATAAAAGGCTAATACTGTACAGCTATTAGCCAGATGGAACAACAATTGTGTGAATGGAACATGTGCCTTTGCTGAGGTCTCACTGATGTAAACTAAAATATACTTTACTATCTAGCATAATTAATAAGACATACACTCGAATAAGTAATTACGATTGCTAATTAATAATCAACTAGCATAGAAATAGCATATTTTGATATTTCATGAGTAATTACCAATACCAAAAATAAACTTAAATGGCACCGATTTTAGCAATACTTGGATAAAGACACAAAATCATAGACATTTTATTGTGAGAAAAAATAGAAGCAGCAATTTCCTTTAGTAATTAACCCTTCATGTCGTAAGGCGCAATAGTGCGACAGCAAAAAATTTTCCGTTGAATGCCCTAGGCGCACTAGTGCGACACATCCAAGTATACGTGGATTTCGCCCTCTATACTGTCTATATATCATTCTGATGCTCATTTGTTTTTGCATCCGGGTTACTTACATTTTGAACTTCTCGAATAAACAAAAATCTTAACCACTTTTATTAAAAAATATTTTATAAATCAAACAAAAATGTCAACTTATTTTTGAAAGTTTCAGTATGGCCGCGCAGCAGCGATATACTGTGGAACGAGCCATACACGATGTTTTTGAGATTAATAGTGTGGATAGAGACCAGAACATTTTTGTGGAATTATAATGGTGTTTCTGTAGGCTAGTGGAAGTGATGAGAGTGATGGTTACGATGGGGAAGAAGCTAATATCGCCGGTGGTACAGCAGGGACGAGGTAGGACTAGTGCCTTGCCTAGACGAAGTTAGGCCTAGCCTATACAAAGAAATTGGCCAAATTGGATGGCGGAAACGGAACATTTCCCTGATTGTAAAACAATTTTTTTACAAACCAGTATCACATATAGAATATATGTGCTATGAGCATTATTTTTTTTATAAATAGTTTTTTGGTTAGAGTTCAAGAAATATGTGAAAATTCCATTTAAAGAGAGATACTAATTTCTGCTGTGTAATTATGTAGTTTTGTAAAAGTAATTTGGCATGCTAGAATGTCACGCACCAGCGATTTTCAGCATGATAAGGGTTAAGTGGACGTGAACTCATGTCCCTGGCAGAACACCTGTAGGCAGGATAACACAGGTAGGTATACGTCAATAAATTTGTTTTTGGACAAAATTGCAATTAGTATCAAATGAGCGCTGCAGTAGGGTAGAGGGCACTACAACTTACCATTTGTATCTTGAGTTTGCTTCAAAAACTGTCATGTCTTCATCGTCCTCTTCTTGGTCTAACGGCGCCATCTCCAAATGATCAGAATTAGTTGTCAGCACGCCGTACTTCCTTGTTTTTCTATTCCTTCTTAATCTGTTGGAAGACAAAAAGCAGAATTGTATTTTAAACAAAAACTTAGTGAATTCATAATCTAGGTACAGTAAGGACAAAATGTAATTTTTCAATCATATGATAATGAAATATTCTAGTTGTGACTAGACTTGTAAAATCACAGTAGACATAAATCTCTCTACAACAGCAAAATCATTGAAAGTATTTCACCAAATTATGAAGAGGAGGAGGCACTTTACTTATGTTTGCCTCTCTAGTTCTACACAGGAGTATAAACTGGTATCTAAAGTACAGTAGTATAGGGATGTTGTGCATTGAATGTTTAATTTTGTGTGCCGTGTATGGCAATAAAGTTACCTACTATATAAACTCAAGAGCGCAGGGGAGCTTGCAATTTGTGTCGGTTTACCACTGTACGTTGATGACCAGGAATAATAATGCTTTTACACATCATCATTATTGGTGTGGATTGTGTACTGAATAAATCTGAGATTTATTAAATTCAAGGAACTGACCATGATTTGTAGATAATGTAGGCTACTCTGTCACAGGATTCTTTCTACATAATCACTGACTGTGAACTAGAGAATTTGGCATCAATTTGTAAGCAGACTGTAGTGTAAAGCATGGTTGATAACAAACTCATAATTGTGGTTTATTAAATCTTTACAGTACCCATAAATTTCCTTTCACAATCAGACAGCTGCATCTATTATCACGAGCACTCTATTGTATACGTACATTTTCTCATCATTGGACAAGTGCAGTTTTTAATGCCAGCAATCCTTCTCGTCCTACAATTTAGATACTGTACTCGCACATTTCTGACAAATTTATGTACCAAACACATAACATACAATAATGGCAGACATCGATCAGTACTATTTTCTGCTATAATTTGCCAGCTAATATTGAGAGAATTCCCTGGAGAGTTAACTTGCTGAACACTTAAGTAACTGGTGGTAATTTTCAACCATTTCAACAGCAAATATATTTGCCACTTACAAGATGGAATGGTGCTGCACAGTATACAATTTTCTTTTTTTTCCCCAAATTTGGAGTTTGCCAAAACTTTAAGACTCATATGGAACTGTTATGTACAAACAAATGATTGAAACTGTTTGGACATAAACCAATTTAGCATTGTGAATCCTTTCCCAATCCATGGTGGTAATATTAAGCAATTGAACAACTAAATAATTAATATGTCTTTCATGCTAATATAATTCAAGAAGTTAAGCAAGTGTTAATTTAAAAAAAAAATTAAATAAGTAATTGACTATTATTCAAGCTGTTCTGTTTACTAAAATGTTGTTGGAGTTACCATACACTGTCAAGGCAGATTTTTAAAGAGGTTATTATAAACTAACCGACACCACCAGTACAAAATACAGTCCACGCAACTTTATGACACTTTATTTTGGGATACCTTTGATTAATGGATCAAATGGATCAAGCTTTAACTTTGTTTGCTTCTCGATGATTTAACTGTACATGTTGGCCATATCCTATCTAATGAAATTGAAAATCACCAATATCAAGTAACAGAACAATTTTTTGTCCAATTTTGTAAAAAATATCTCACTTTGGCTTGAAAAAAGATCTGAATTATACGATTCAATGAATGCCCCACCCCAAAATGTTATTGTCTCCTAAACAAAATTGTTTTTAATAATGTTCTGTATATTTTTCTTGCCTAGTTTTTAGATTAATACATTTCATTTAATAGTAAAAATTGATTGAGCTTCTATAAAGGATGTTTAAAGATAGAATGCCATATCCAGGGCATCTTGTATAGGCCTAAGGATGCACCATCAAATTGATAAAATCTGAAAATCTGATAAGCAATATCTTACAGTATGAGCAAGAATACAGAAGTAGTAAGAAATTGAGGACACAACCAAATGACAGTCAAAAACAAAAGTGAATTATCAATTCTGTATAGTATACAAATGTAGGGCTTTGATTGACAGCAGATGTTTGTTTGTCTTGACCAACGCTGATGATTGTATGCAGACTGAATCAAATCCAGGCCTTGTCATTTGAAAATGGCAGGCAAGAAAATAAAATACTCACCATAATTTTCAAGTGAGTGATTATTTAGGGGGGTGGCATGGGAGAGATTAAAGAAATACTGCAGATGAATATTTAATCGCTATACAGAAAACATTAGTCAACAAGACATCAAATTTAACTTCCAATATTTACATGTAGAGAAATAATAAAGTGCACTCTCCCAATACCGACCCAAGAGTGCTGTGAGTTCAGTTATGAAAAAAATAGAGTTTTATACACTGTACAAATACAAAATTAATCATAAGAAAAAGAGGATTATTGTTGATAGAAATAAAATACATAACTTTGCATAAAATTATAAATGACAGTACAATAACGGATGATTATGACCGGTTGAGCCGCCGACAAGTTGAGCCGCTGGTCATTTCTATGGAACGCCAAGCGCGTCTCTCAGTGAATGTAGTGCGTTAATTGCGGCGTATTTCAATTAACTTATTCGTTCTTGGTACTGTACTGTTGTTTGGGATGTATTTCAGTTTATTTACTCA